GTGATAGCGTTAAGGCGGCGGTAGTCTACGCATAGTCGTAGGGAAGAGTCTTTCTTTTTCACTAAAACGATAGGCGATGCCCATGGTGATGTAGATGGTACAATGATCTTTTTCTCTAGCATATCTTTTATCATTGATTCTAATTCAGGCTGGTAATGTACTGGTACTCGACGAGGTGGTTGACGTAATGGCATGTGATCACCTGTGAGGATGGCGTGCTGTACAGTGGTCGTCCGATTTCCAGAGATATTCTCAGAGAAAACGGAACTAAATTGTTGGAGTACATCGGTGGTTGCTCGACGGTCTTTTTCACTTATTATCTTATTATCCTGTACCTGACGTACAATTTCTGAAATTCCCACCTGGGCTACGGACTTAGTTGGTATTTCATGGTGTTGTATTTGCACGACAACTCCACCAATACTCGCTTCTGACTTATTCATGTGTATAGAGACCTGGTATTTTAACATGAAGTCGACCCCGAGAATCATGTCCCAAGTCAGTGTGGGGCAAACCCAGAATTCATGTTGAAAAGGCTTCTTGTCTATCGTTAGCTCTAACCCTATCTTAGAACACGCTTTCAAGGGTTCTCCGCTCGCGGTAATTAATGTAGAAGAGCATTGCTTACGCTGAGTGCTGTGGTTAAGTTTGTGTAAGAGGTCTTCCTTGATCAAAGATACTGAAGCTCCTGTATCTAATAGTATATTAATCTCGGTACTTTGTACTCTACCCCTAATAGTAACAGGGCATAAATGTTTAACATAGCAAGACGATATATGCAAACGACACTGCTTACCTCTGTTTCTCACGCGGTTATGCCCGCATTTCTTGGCATTTCTGCCGAAACGTCTGCAGTAGAAGCATTCTGTTTGCTGGTCTCGGTAGTTGTCCCTTGACGACCGTCCGTTCCATGTGGGAGTCGGTTGTCCTCGTCTATTATTCCGGTCAGGGAACTCTCTAATAGCCACGGCACTTTGAAAACTATCTTGTCGATTAGGTTCGGTGGCTTCATCGACAGTCGTCACGGTTGGTCGATAGGTCGCCACTGGAACTGACAGTCTTTCAGCAGTCAAAAATCGAAGTGCCGTTCGTTTCAAGTCGGCTGTGTCAGCCGGTGGCACTCGAAGTAGATGTTCTCGCAATGCACCTGGCAACAGTCCTTCAATAAAACGAGAGCGTGTAATTTCTTCTCGCCCTAAGATGTCCAGGCTAGGGAATGCCTGGGTTGCTATCTGCTGTAATGAGTGAAGATAGTCAATGGGGCTTTCATGAGGTTTCTAGTGACAAGACAAAAATTGGATGGCTGTCTGCTGGGTATCCACCTTCAAAGAAAAACATTCATCTAAAATCTTCCAATTTTGAGGTGGTGAATTGCACGCAGTAAAGCCGTTAGCTGTCGCTCGTTTGGCTGCTTCGTCATCTAAGTAAGACAGAAGATAGTCGAAGTGTTCCGATGTTGGAACTCGACGTAGGCACGTCATTACTCTGATTTTCCAGATATCATAGTCTGATGAGACTCCTAACAGTGGCGGTTGGCGAGGGGTTGTGTTGACTGTTAACTTGCCTGGGATGGTTGGGGGTTCATCATGTTTTGACATAGACACCTCCATCACCACTTGTAGCACGTAGTATTATCGTTTACTTGCAGGCAGGAGCGATCTGAAACACAACACAACAATCAGGACTGGCAGATGCCACTCAGGTGAGAACACGGCGTGCGAGCACAACAGAGATATATTAGAAATTGAATTACGCGGTTTTAGTACAAAAAGAGAAGTCTATTACAAAATAGTTTTACTCATCATCCAGCAGGTTTAGTTTGCGCAAGCTTTGTTCTTCTAATACGTTCACTTTCTGTTGTCCTGCAATAAGGAAAACAAACTTCCATTAGTAAAGTTACACGTAATGATTTTCGATACTGTTACAAACGCAACTTTCATGAATCGCGCCAACTGTGGTACTGATTCAAACCATCTACATTCATATCTTATAAATTATCAACCCAGCTATGTAATTTATTACAGTGTATATTGTATCATTTGTATCAATTTGATATTGCCTGTAAACTGGCATGCCTCATGTAACAAACTGTTATTTGAGAATAAATTATTATTATTATTATTATTTTGTAATGACTGTGGAGAAATGTAATCAACGTGGTGAATTTGTTTGGCACTTCTCTGTTGAACCGTATAGTCATATGCACTCAAAGCAATAGTCCATCGTTGAACCATGGAAGCTGAGGAACGTGCTAAGGATTTTTCAGGATGATAAATAAACTTTGAGGCTTCATGATCAGTAACAATAGTGAATTTCTTTCCAAAAAAATATTTATGAAGTCTTTTAACAAACCAAAACACAGATAATGCTTCCCGCTGAGTCTGTGAATAACCTTATTCAGTAACAGTAAGTTTGCGTAACTCCGCCTGGAGTCCTTCCGAGGGCTACTGCCTGTCCGAAGCCCTGAAAAAGGATGAGGGTTGGGCATGAGGTTAGAGACCCCATCCTGTAGAAAACTAACTCGCTAAAAAAACGTTAACCAGAAAAAATTATTCAAACATTTTAAACTCTGCCCTGGGAGTCAGAAGGTCTTCATTTAGGAGAGTCACGACGCCTCATGATGAAGCCTGGGTTCCATCGGAAGTCACGAGGCCGATGCCTCTTCTGACAATCAGAGCAACCATTTATTTAGGTACATAGAATGCTTGTACTATGTGGGAGACCGGGAGAGTCTTCCAAATTGATGCAGGAATGCGGAGATACAACCTAGAGGTGCTAAGGATCAATGAAATACATTGGACGCAGGTTGGACAACAATGACTTGCTTCAGGGGAGCTGCTGTTATACTCCGGCCATGTTGAAGAAAATGTTCAACATACACAAGGATTTGCATCAATGCTGTCCAAACAAGCACAAGTTAGAATGTTCACATTTAGTCAACTATTTATGCCATTAAAATAAGGATTGGCCAACCTCAGACTAACTTTGTGATAAAACAGTGCAATTCAATTTGAAGTTACTTGGATTATTCGCTTGTTCAAATTTTGACTGGAATTCGATTAATCTTGGTTGGAATATGGGTATTCTGTTTGAACTCTCTCTACCTATCTATTATGACACTAGTTAATACAGAATAAATGGGATATGATTAGCAGTGGAACCCATTATGTATGTTTCGTCCTTTTTGAAACCCATCATTTGGATATGCCTGCGTCCCAGAGTTGGTATGAACATCAACTCCAATTGAATTAAAACTCATGCCCGTTGCACAAATCAGTAGCTAACTGGACTCAGTAGCTAAGTAGATAACCCCATGGTGTTTGAAGTGAACTTTACTGTGCTTAAGTACCGAAATGCAGGCTCATCCAGCTGACCAGTCCCGAATAGGGTGAAAGGCACATCTTGGATTTCACTGCTAGTCACATTCTACCTATTCTATACAAACAGTATAACTTCCTTGCAATTTTTATCATGGTCCTTGTTGGGGTAATCCAGAAAAATTCTCGCAAAAGACAAGAAAGGCTCGGGAAACACTATGAAGTATTTTGTCCAATCAGCGTTCACTTGAATTTTAGTCAGAAATATCAAGAGAGTGAAAAGTCACATGTAGAGTTTCTGACTGACTGATTACTATGCTGCTGTTATGTTTAGTAGCAGTCCAGAATTTTCGGGAAACTCAAGGACATCTAAGATACGATGAAATCCCTATATATTTTCTGTACTGAAACGAACCTTTTGAGTAAAGTGTTTCTTGCGTATTTTGCGCCTTTTCGCTCGTGTTAAGGTTGCTGTGCAGTTCTAGCTTGGGGGTTACAATAATAGTTTGGGAACCGAATATAGCGTTCATTTAGCAAGACTTATCAGTCCTTAACGCTGATATCTGCACAGAGTTAAAGAAAATTTCACTTATTTTATAACATGCTTTAATTTGTTAACACAGAAAAATAACGTAATTATTTAAAATAAATCTTTATCAATAAATCTCAATGGCTTCATGCTTTAAACAATTTTACAAAACGAAAGCTTTAGCTGGGTACAACATATTCACAAAAAATGTTTATTAGATCTCTCATTCTGTTGTATTTTACTTCATAGTTGACTAAAATTGTTCGCTTGTTATTGATAATAAATCATGGTTGTTATTTGATAAACAAAATTCTCGTTAAGAATTTTCGATTATCATTGATATTGTACGCCCTATGCTTTAAGTTTCGACCAATGATACACATTTAATGTGATTAGCCTTAATGAATAACTGTTCCCCACGTTTCATCAGTTTATCCTTCTGTAAATATTTACCATTGACTGTTTAGTTAATTTCTGATCATAAATCGACCGTATAAGTATTCGAACAAACATCCAATTTAATTACTTTTGTAAAGGTTTGAATCTTTCAGTTATTGATGTTATTAACAGCAAGTGATCAATCTTTTTTAGAATTTGTATACTCTACGCAAAATACCCCTTTGTTGCTATGACGTTACAAGCTTCTCTAAGCAATTTGGATAGTGTCTGGAAGTGGAATTCAGCACATTTCATCCCATTTGGGACAGAAATAAATTTGCGTCGATATGACCTAAGAAATTATTGAATACGATTGTCTGAAACGAGGCCTAAATAGTTTACAATTTTCAAAATAATAACATCTTTTAAAGATCTGTCGTAGTACTAAAAACAATCTAACACCAGACTTTATTCTTTTAGTTGTATCTTACAGATTGTAAGCACTGAAAGTTAGAAAGGGATTTAAATAACATTAGAAGTTGCTTGTTGTTATTTAAAAAATCCATAAGTTACTTCGGTACTGCAATAAGATTTCAATTAATTACTTATTAGAGTAAACGTTTTATTATGGAAGCTCATAAAAGTTAAACTTCATTAATAATATATTCCTTTTTGAATGACGTAGCAGAAGTATCGTATATGCATGTTAATTAAACTTAAACTAAATTGTACAACTTTAGTAAATGACATTATAGACGTATTAAAAATTTACTGTATAAGATATAATGATAAATTTATTATAGCAGAAAGTAATATTACAATAACTATGAAATAAATACAATTTATTAAACTAGACTAATTTATTTATCCATTAACTAGATTTATAAGATAAACTATAATTTTAATTAGGAATAATATCGTTTGCGAGTACACTTAACGCTGTCCATAATTGTCTTCCAACTTGTCCAATATATGATGGTGGCAGAAGAAATCCATAACGACCTTCATCACATAATTCTATTGTATAGGCATATGGGATTTTTAGTTCACCAGCTACATAATCGTCTGTTGCTCCAGCTGCTTCATCTAAGAACAGAAATGGGCCCAGTAAAAAAATCAAAGACAAATAAAAAAGAAAGCTAAACTACTTGAAACTTTTAAAACTCATTAAATAGATAAAGCCAATAAAGAATATTTTCAAAGCAAAAATAATATGCCAAAGTTTGAAGGTATTGTACTCTTTGACCTTGATAAATTAGTCACGATGCCTTAATTGTCACTCCAGAAGATACCATCAGCACATACTTCAAAGAGAAATGAACTATTGAAAGTTTTCTACAATTGAATAAAAGTTCTTTCCATTGACCTTAGTAATTCTTATTTGTGCGTCCGCTATTTGCATATCTGTTTTCATTGTTTCCACCCCCCCTGTCATGATCTATGAACCGTGAAAGGTCAACAGAACAAGTTGTTAGCCACTAGTGGAAACATTTAATCTCTCACTTCTCTCTGAAATTTGTGTTAATGATACTATGCAAAAGAACAATCACAGTTTCATGAGCGAACCATACAGCTCCCAGAACGCAATATCACTGAAATCCTCAACCCAAGCTATAAATATTCCCCAACATGTCGAATCGTACTCATTCACTTTCAAGTACTGATCAATAAGCTATCTTAGTTTGTATTTCGCTAACGGCCTTATCGGTCGTATTTATCGTTAGTAAATAAGTACATTCATTGTCATTATTCTCGACTCCATCAGTGATCACTCCTTGTAGCTGTAGAAACAGATTATGTTTAGCCGCGACTTGGTGAATAACGCGTTAGGCGCTTGGAGCAAAAGTTACTGGGTTCGAGTCCTTGTTTGAATATCAACAATAGTAAAGGAACAACCAGTTGGCGAGTCTCAAAAAGGATTAAACACGCATCCAAGATTTCACTGTAGGTAACCACCTAACGTTACTAATACTAATGGTGTTGTCTAGAACGACAACAAACAAATTATTTAGCTTAGAGAAAATATCTGTTTAGTGTTTCTTGATTGCTTAATGGACGTTTAACTAAGGTCAAGCTATAGTGTAAACTATCAAAATCAACAATCGTCACACACTATGTCGACCTTTTCTCAAGTTTGGTTCCCGTTATTTGTAATTTACACAAAACTAAAGATAGCTGATTCAGTTTGCATATTATTGTCAGATTTGATAAGATACTCGAAGTTTCATACTGAATAAGCATCGATATTCTCATTTCCACTCTATTAATAAATTATTGTAAAATGAAAATTCAGTAATATGTAGACAAACATTGTATAAATTCAAAAATGTTCATGACTATAAAGTCTATTGAATATTTGAACTTCAACATATATGAAATGGTTAATCGGAAAGCATTATTCACTTACATAAAAGTTCAGATGATGAACCAACTTGATAAACATAACCATGTCGATTTTGTATCATTTGCTTTACTTTGTTGCCCATTGACATCTAAAAATATTAATAAAAATATACCAAATTCAGTAGACAAGTTGAATTAGTTGAATAATTGAAAGTAATTTTAAGATGTTGTGAGATCTAAGCGTTCTCTATTATATGATTGATTGGCGGTGCTATTACATATACATTGTGCCCAAATAAAATTCTATCAATCGGTAATCATTTTAAAATGTTTAGTTAATTATATTATGCGCTCCTCGACATATAGCAACAGATATTTCCACAAATGTCTCTATCAACGGTCCAGTTATTTTAGTAACTCTGTTTGGACGTAATATGTAACAATTTATGCCTCATAGTTTATACGGGTTGCCACTTTAGGCACTTAACTTAAAGATTCAGTTCAAATCATTATGTACTTAAATTACCAAATGATCTGAATATAAAACTTAATCAAATACATGTCATTATTTGATATATGTGGTGATTTTAGTAGTTTAAAAGTCCCCAGATATGTGATGAATCTCAGCAACTAATAAATATTTATGTACTTGAAGACAAACCAACTGACTACTTTGTCTTATCTAGTGTTATTTGGAATGCTTGCAGTTAGTTTGCATCTGGTTTTCCAACTTTCACGGGTAATTTTTAGTGTAAGTGTAGGTTTAATTGTAATCACTGAGATTTTTTCATCAGCAGTAAGTAATAATGCTTTGTTTTAGTTACCAGAAATAATATTTCTAATGATAGTGAGTTTCAAAGGCATCTTCAAGTCCCAGAGTAAACATCAACTCTGGGATGCAGGTAAATCCAGCTGACGAGTTCCAAATAGGACGAAACGTGCGTCCTGGATTCCATTGCTAGTCACTATTCACCTTTACTTAAAAATCTCATAGTGAAGTTGAGAAAATTATTATTATCAAGTAAAATGCCTATGATGTACCTCAACGTGTATTTGCAGAGAAATTTTAATTGCTCACTTCTTTTTGAAGGATGTAATGACGATAGTAAGCTGAGAGTGAGTATGAAGGCCTTAAAGACGAACTCACTAATTCAGTTGTTATTTTCTGTAAATCAACCCGATCAATTAAACGACTGATTCATGTAATTAAATAGAAAGACGTCTGAAATCACAACCGAACTTTAACTTATCGAACAATAGTGGTTACTATAAGAAATCTACAATCAGTTACTGACTTCGCATCTTCTGGTTACCAGCAATTATGTTACTTAAACTTTAAGTTTTCTTAGTAAAGAACACTGTTAGATAACTGCTGAGATCATTAGATTCTCAAAAAAAAAACAAAGACGATGAAAATTTAGATTAATCAAAATTCAGGGTTATTTTTCTCAATCCTCTTATTTGTTCATCGTTTTAGGAAAATAGCTTGCTGTTGTTAGTTTTCCTTATATTTACACTTAACTTGTGAAACAATCATTATCAAGTAGGAAGGTATATGATTCTTTCTCGCATGACTTGTATTAGCTTTATAAAAGTAAAGACATATGGGAAGCCATAACTTTTGAAGGAGTCAAGTAAGTGACAACTGGTTAGTAAAAGTAGCTTTCTATGGTAAGAGAATAACTACAATAAACCGTTCATTGAAAAAGAAGTTTTACTTCTATTAAACTTTTTCCTATAGCTTACATCACGGTAGCAATAAATTTATTCTTAGAACAGTCTCATGGGTATACAAACTCTAATCTTAATAATTAACATAAACTGGAATTATGAAGACTTACTAATTTTTGGTAATAAGGCGGATAACTGTAACGGGAAAATCCGAATGGTGTTAGTATATACTGACCAAACGAATGTAAACTCAAGTATAAAATTATTTGTTTCTGTAAAGATTTTAACTTTTTAATGATACTTTGTGTTTCCAATTCTGAGGCTGCTTCAATCCCACGATATGTATCACTGCATGAATGGGGTGACGCCCCATTTCCAACTACAAGTTTACAAAATAAAAGGCAACGATTGATAAAATTCACACTAAATTGAATACAAAATTATTCATACTTTTCAAAATGTTATTACCAAGGTTTTACTTGGCGATTTCGAATAAATCGAGTATTGGGTAGATTATTAATGATAGAAATAATATTTTTGTAAAGTCTCATTGTGAGGTTATAAATATATTATTTCAATTGTTTGTACTTCGATCAATTATTGATACAGTGCAAATACCATTCACTGATAATGGTAACAACTGCCTCATTCCTGACTTGTCTAAACTTCACTAGTCATCGTTTTTCATTAGAACATCAGGAACATCTTGAAGTAAGTAACTTGTGGGCTAACATTCTACTTTATTGGAAAAGGATTTTGGGAGATTAGTCTAATTTATGAGTAAACTTACCTCAGTGAGATCATATTTCGGGTAAAACTCAAAACTAAAGAGCATGGGATGCGAGTGATTACTTCAACGAATTCACAAACTTGAACGAAATAGCTGTCCAGTGTTTTTTGATTTTTAGTGCCATTCCAGATGAGAACAGTCTGTGACAAATACTAACAATAAATTAAACTGGTCCCCAAAATACCGCTTCAAATTGTTTTACACTTATTTATTCTTGTAATTGCTTGTGTTAATCAAGTTTCAATAAACTGGCTTAACATTACAAGATACAGATTTACGTAATCGATTCATTTGACTTTTTTAAAAGAATTGTTTGTATAGTAGAATTATCACTGAGAACATTCAAAGCCACTGAGTTGTGTAGTCTTTAGAACTTCATTATTCTTAATTAAATTTGGTTAAATATATCGTCAGTGAAAATAAAATCGAGACATTTTCTCTAAATATAAAAAACAACACTTTACCACATATTTATTTGGTAAAAACCAGAAGTTATCAATTACCACTTCAGTAATTGTGTATAACTACAATACTGAAATTACATATTCAGTTTATGTAAGATGAGAACGTTTCCAAGATAAACCTCATTTGAATAAAAACGTTTCTTGATAACCTCAAATGAATGCAGTTTATGTATCACATCCAGGCAAATATTTAATAGAATTCGGATTTCTGTAAAAATGATCGAAACTTTACCCCACTTTTTTAATTTTAACTGTTTTGCATAACCATCATGGCATCATTTCAACATAGATTAGCAAAAATCAATTTCATTCAACATGAAATATTCGGTTTTTCATGTTGTTGTTTTTTTCGTAGTTCAAGCATTCACAATCTCACTAAGGAATTAATGAAATCATATTTTTAATTATATGAAGAAGTCACATTTTGTGCCACATGAAAAATAAATTACCGTAAGCTAGTTTACTTAGTAAAATATAACATGAAACTTACCACCCCATTTAAATGGAAAATTCCTATTTAAGTCTATTCCAATGCATGCTTCACCTTCTGCTCGAGCTCGATTTTTACGCCATAGACGATACTGTAATTAAAAGAAAATTTAAACATTTTTGTGATTATCTTAAGACTTATTATAAGATGCCCCTAAATGCCCTGATACGGCCAAGAGTTGGGAGAGTACGCTCTCCCTCTCGAAATGCTCCCAGACGGCCACGCGTATATAGCTTCTGCCAGGGAAGTCCTACTCATTGCCTTCTCTCATCGACGGTGTTGTTTACGAAATTGAGAGGACGAAAAGCGAATGTCCGGTGCTTTAACCGGGTTGGTGGATATGGAGAGTTCACCTAGGGGAGTTGGAAAATCCTGATTCCAAACTAATGTTACACGCGGGCTCCAGTATCCTGAAGGGACAAGTTGCGTATGAACCGTCACCGGCTACCATAGGACTGCATCACCTTACGGTGCTCCACTGCCGTGTGGATCAGACATTCAGGTCGAAGGCTCCGGGTGTGGCTCCCTAAGAACACCATCTGCTTCTAGTTGGGCACCCGAGCAGTATCACAGCCCTCACACATATCAAATGAGATTTGTGTGGCGCATATGTTACTGGTGCCCCATTGTGCGAGTATTTACGTGTTCAAATAAATAATATTATCAGATTTACGAATTTAATACTTCAAAATTCTTATTTGATTATTATGGTTGTTTGGAATTAACTAATGACCTGTTGAATAACCGAATTAATTTTCAGCATAATAAACTGTACAAACAATGAGACTTATGCTATTCCATTTATTGGAACTAAAAATCCAAATGAACAATAATAAACAAAAACAAAAAGGTAGTAGTTCTTCATGTACCGTGAAATTCACAATAGAATAATTAGAATATTTTCCTGATTATTTTTAATATTTTTTCCCAGTTAAGTGGAAAAACTTTAATATCAAATACATTTAACAATTCGATTCTTTTTTAGAACAGGAGAAAATTTTAATTTAAACTTAAATCATGACAGAATTATACTCTATCCACCTTGGAAAGGAATGTATGTACAGTTCTCTACAAAATATTCAACACCAACATTTTAATTAAGTATTATTGGGCATTGAACACACTATATCTAGAGATTGTGAATATTAATGTATGCAACGAGCTGAATTCCGACTCAGTAACTTATCGACATTTTGCAATCTGTAAGATTTTTAGGTACAGTGTACAACCATTATTAACATTAGAGGTTCACGATACTGAGGTGTTATATGGTAAACTGATACGACCTTTCTATTTTTTCTACTTTTCAACAATGCTCTGACTGGGCCTTTTTTAATGAAATACTTTTTCAAATGCTATTAGTATTAGGGTCACTTAATAAATGAATGAAATGTTGAATTTCTTATCGTATTATTCAAAAAATAATTTAAAATTATACCTTTGTTCTTGTATATTCATATCCATCTGGGTTCACCACGGGAACTATGAAGAATTGAAAATGTTTTAAAAGTGTTTGCCCCGATGGTCGCATAAGCTAAAAATTAAAAAGACAATTATTTTTACAGTTAAACTATAAAATTAGTTACAGTTTAAATCACGAACTAATCCTGTCAGGTAGTCTTTGAGAACTATGAAGCATTGAACATTTATTTCAGTCTAGTATGGGACTCTTCATCCATACACATTCGTGTTTCCATAACAAAGGGTCAACCTAGGGTCTTCGGTAACGAGCGTGAACTCCTAACCTGTGGATCAATGAGCTGGTGTCCGGTGATGTACAAGTCTAGGTTTAATCAATTCGTCATATTGTGGGACCATCTCCCATTATCTTCACTGTAAAACTGTCTTATACAAGTGATTGACAAGCTACACTGATCACAGCTTCTTACTAGCACTCCAAGAATTACATCATGAAGTTAAACACCAGAGAGCATTTGATAATTACCAGTATAACGGTTGTGGAAATCAACGAAGGTAGCTGAGATCATGAATCGTTTAGGGATTTCAATACCACTCAATAACCTTTACAACTCTCCTACTAATATATGTTCAGTAAAAAATGAAATACTTTGTCAAAATTCCATTTACGGTTTTCCTCAAATACATCTGAAACAGGTTAACTTTAAGCTGAGCACTTACAGTTTTTAAAACTAATGCGTTGGAATAAGAAGACAGTTTGCTGAATATTGAATTGTGAATACCATTCATCGCACTGTTATTTTTGTATTTTTTAAATAAAAGATATTTCATACCAGTTAAAAACTTTTTCAATCCTATTTCGTCCAATAAAATGATTTGTTTCAAGATGATAATAATTGGTTAGTCATTTCAGAAAATTGATATAAATAGTAAATATTTCTTGACTGAAAACATTTCCTCCAAATTGTGAACGTAAGCAACTCACAAAGTATAAGCTCCATTGTTTTTAACGTTGTCATGGACACGAATAAAGTATTATTGGGTATTCTGTATCTGGTAGCGTTCCAGTCGCTTGAAACGTTAAAGAACACCATCAGGAATTATGAAAAGACGTACTACCATTATGCGATTCACGATTCTCATTTCCATAAAAATCAGAAGCCGTATATCAAATTTGTATGTAAGAGAAATGGTCGTAGAACACCTAACAGAACCTTATAGACAATTAGACAAAGGAGGTAAGTTGAATATTGTTATTATAATGTTCAACAAGGTCTGCAACGAACAATCAATGTTCGGCCTCCATCTAATGTAAATTTATTGAAGGTTATTGGACTATTGTATTCGAGAATGTGCATCACAATCATGAGTGCAATTCCCTGAGGTACGATAACGATTCTTGGATGAGCAGGTTAACTGATACGGAGTTGGAAACAGTGCGACCCCTTCTGATCTAGAGGATAGCAGCATTCAATATTGTCCACTTCGTTTAACAATCTTATGGGAATTGCCTGAAGCCGCCAGATGTTTTTACATGATGTTTATAATTTTATGCACCAATTGGTTTATGGAGCGATGGTCAAACACCGTTGACGTTATCTGCAGCACCTGAGTGTCAGATTGAGGCCTCCGATTCCATGGATGAAGAAATGCTAGGAATCTAGCAGACAAGTAGTCTCAACTGTCAAACAAACGTGGATTTGGATGTCACGTTAAGTAATGAGGAAGAGGATATTGTTTCAATAAACTCGGAAGAATTTAATGACAGAGAGAACAACACAGACGAACATGCCCACGACAACAGACTGTGTGACATATGCACTCATGCGCAGCCACCAAGTAAAACTGCTGTTGTAGGCCCTTGGGTATTTTGTTGTTGCAATCCGTTGTTTCATTCGTCTTGCGGCTGGAACCCACAACCACAATTCCATAGATTCCATTGTCCCATGTGTAGCGCGATGACTGAAGTATAATGGTGTCGTTTTTCGTGACAAGCGGAAATGTGAAGAGTCAAAGTGAAAGCCCTTTACAGGACCACGCACAATTTGATCCAAATTTTTTTTCTTTTATTCGTCACAAATTGTACCAATAAATTTGTCCATCGCATTTCATACGCATTTTCTGTATTTTTCGATGACAATTTAGCCGTCATTGTGTTTAACGTTAATTGTCTGCGAATTAGTTTAACAGTTGTATCCGTTGCGTTTCGTACTATTTCAGTGAGAAATTCACTAGGCCGTGTATTCTTCACGCATGATAGCATAACAAAACGTTCAGTCTTACAATAACCAAACATTTATTACTTCCGCTAAGGCTAATTTGTATTAATATTCATCGATAAGTATTATCTATTATCTCATTACATGCCATTTTATTAACTGTGAATCAAATGAAATAACCATTTTACTCTTTATTAGTACCGGTGATCTCCTTTCCTACATTAGTACTGATAAAAATATTGTTTGAGCTTTAAGTGTTTACTAAAACTTAATAGGAATAAGTTTTAGTTATGATTAACATTGAATTATTTTATTGTAAGTTGAAAACTATGTATTGAAATCAGATCACAACAAAATTATTTTTATGGGGAAGGTCAAACGAACTAACACTGATTATAGCTCACGCATGAATAATACTTCTTTATGGTTTATAAAATGTCTTTACCGTCAAATGAACACTAATCTGTTTAATAATGGTATATACAGACTTCAATTGGAATGCTTCAATATTTGTCAGATTGTTCAGCTGGAAAAATGTAGGATTTTATTTGTTACATTGAAATTCAACGTTCGTATAGCCAAATAACAGTAGATATAATTGACCTTATTAGCATTTCTCAGTCTAGTCGACCGAGATGTGTATTGTTAGTCGTAAGCCTGCTAATTAGCAGTTAATACAATCATTATTTTAATTACTCATAAAAATGGTCGTTATAGTAACGTTTAGCTGTTACGGGTTCTATATGTTTAACACGTAAATCCAATGATTTGAAAAATGAATGCAGACGTTAATAATAAAAATTTATGCAGTACACCACATGTCACTAATATGTTGAATAAGTTACCTTACGATGAACTTCATGGTGTAGAGTTAAAAGTGATTTTGCAAACCTCAATTTTTCATTTTTCAAATATTAATAACGTTTGCGTTTTCATTTAAAAATTAAATTGAGCGATTAAGACAATGATTTGGTCTCACTGCAAACTTATACAACATTTGATATTAACACCACGTAACAAAAAGCTTACCGTGCACCTCCCAACCACAATAACTGATTTATATTTTTGCATACACAGAGTTTTATTATCATATGTATATACTGCTCAGCTACATAGAGTGGACAATGAGTAGTTGGAAAGTTTTCTTGTAATAGATTTGACAAATTACGCAACAATTACTCATTTAACTATAGACTACTGTACTGAGGAATAAAATATTGCGTTTATCGATACCCTTTTCAAAGCGAAATAAAACAACACTTTCATATTAAGAATTACTGTTTCTAAAATCATCCAGCCATAAGTATTATTTCCTTCTTTCTCTTAAATTATTATTATGAATTTAAGAAAGGGTTAACGATTATCCATTCAGCAATCCTTGACGTTTAGCGTGATTAGTATATACCCTATTCATTATCTTGTCACAATGATTTATCCATATAATTACATGTATATAACGATTATTACATGATCAAACTGTGTTAAAATAACTCATTCGAATACGAAAACAAATATCATTTTACTACTTGTTCATTAAACATCTGATTAGCTTTAAAGTTCAGTGATCACTATTATCAACTATTAAAAACAGTTATCAGTTTTTCCCAATTTACTTTTAATGATATGCATATTATTTTTCTTGTCATGACACCTAACGACTTCAGTTGCGTTTCTTGCATTACTACGTCATCATGAAAAAACATAAATAAACTTCATATCTCAATATCTATTCACAGCCAGGAATATAGCACGGCAGTCGAATACAAATGATGTGTCTTTTTTCAGAAGTTAAAATTCTTTATCAAAATGAAGATGGAACAGTCTGACAGAATTTTAAAAAAAGTAAAATTCGAATGTAAAAATGCGAATTTTGAGATCCAGTCAAACCAGTTTATGGTGGAATGACAAGAAACAAATATCCAGAGCTTTAACCGGGTTGGTGGATACGGACGATCCACCTAGTGAGTTGGGAAACCCTGATTCCAAAACGATGGTGCACACGGGCTCCAGGATACTTAGGAAACAAATGGTGTATATACCAATTACTGGTCACCGGCTACCTTGGGGCTGCATCTCCTTACAGTGCTCCACTGCCTTGTGGACCAGACCTTCACGTTAACAGCTCCGGGAGTGACCCCCTAAGAAAACCATCTGCTTCGGTATGGACACCCGGGCAGTATGTAACGTATATCTATTTGGCGCCTCCTTGTACCAACGTTTATCTGTTTAAGTAAATATTTAAACAATAAATTTAAATTTACCCATTATTATTAGGAAACAAAATCCAACAATTACCTTATTTATTATACTTAATGCTGTTGCTGGTGCAATCCATTCTCTTGCATGAATACCGGCATCAATCCAGATTATTGGTCTTGTCGAATCTGATGATATCTTAATACAAATCAATATATATTATCAATTTATTACAGATGTAATAAATTATCATGTTTTTATTGCTAACGAAAGTTAAACCTTGATGTTTTTCGGAAGTGATTTTATAGAGATTGGTTTAATGTATGGGAAGTGCCCATCGTCCCTCGAATGACTGGACATAAGATCCTCTGGTCTCAAAACGAATGCTTTGTGATTAGAACTATGAGTTCGCAAGAGGTGAAGGCCCTGAATTCGGCCTGTAGTAAGATCGTATTCGTTCACAACCGATAATTTCCATACTAAACAATTGTCCAATGCACTTTAGTCTTTAATAGTACCTCAAACGAGATTAGTCTTCGGTGAATAACATTGTGGTGAACGCTGCTCACAAGGTTGCTCTTACGTAGTTATGAGCGGAACGTGGCCTCGATGCTATCACAGTCGTCAGACGGAGAGAAGAGTTTCTGTGGATCAAAAGCACGGCGTAGGTAAAGCACTCGAAGACCAGAAGACAAGGCAGTTCGCACTGCAAAACAAACCGCATGATGTGAAAGAAAGGCCGAAGGGTATGTATGCGTGTTTGATAAATATTCTGTCCATTGACTTGAGTTACACTATCACCAAAAATAATGTTATAGCGACTAGGATATTCCTAATAAGTCAAACAGTGATCTCAATATTATGGGGAGATTTAAACCAACCTGTCGTGTCATTGACAAGTGAGTGAAATCCAGTAGTGACAACCAGTTATAGCTCTTAACAGCTAGTTATGTTTAGTTTCAAGTTAAACTACTCAATAAGTGAGACTTCACCGTTAAAAATACCTTGACATGGTGATAGCGCCTGGATATTGTGATGACCAAATCTAGTTACATTTGCCAGAACACCAGTTTCTATAGGTCTTAACACAATGGGTAAGTTGGTTGGAGATGTCTAAAATTAAGGGCCGCAAAGTACTGGTCCTAGGGTAAAGTCATTATGACGAAATTATAGGGCTTGACTACAGTCGGGTATTTCCTTCAGACATTCACCATCCAAAGCGATGGTGCCTCCTCACAATCGGTGGGGAACTCACAAGACTATTGACTGTGAACATAGGACATCTCACTTATGATCGGAAGTAAGACCTAGAAAGGACCAAAACTACTTTAAAAAAGGTTGCATGCAACCGAAGTCAGGTAGTTGTCCCCTTGAATTTGTGGCCATGCTCTCAAGTCTCTAAGAACACTACTAATTCAGTTTCTTTTTTAGGCGCATCAAGAAGAACTATCCTCCTATGGGTTACCGAGTATTAGCAATCACTGTTGTACCTCTAAAAGCATAAAAGATCACCTTGTTCATAGTTCAGCTTGTTATTTTGTGTGCAAGAACTTTGTTTAATTAGACAAAAGACCTACTGTTCTGGTTGATGATTTCGTTTTCAACATCAATTTACACGACGATATTCGTCGATAATCCAGTCTTGTAAGGAGTCATCATATCACGCTACTAAATTTGTCTGAATCCATTCTTTTTATTCATTGCCTGATTTCCTGCATTACAAAATACAAAATCTTTCTATGTAACAGATCTACAGTTTTGGAACTTTTAAACGGTATGTAATTATAACCCGTCACAATTTTTAGTAAGATATGAAATTAGTTTACCTGAGGTTTAAAATTTTATTGCATTACAAAGTGTTCTAACTACTTGTAAGTGTAAAGTAACTCTGACGAATTTTACGAGACTCACCGTAACTCCCTTCATTGGTCGACCTTCAGCTGTATAACCAAAGTCTTCCACCGTCATATATGGACGCGTTTGACTTAACTGGTCTAAATACTGAACGATCTGTCAAACGAAAAATCAAATATTTTATTAATTTATTTCCAAAAACGGTGGTTAGTTCACTAATCATATATGTCATTTGCGACTGATGCAAACCACTGAATTATCCATAAACAACAGCCCACTTCAACATTTTCTACTTATAATACAATAGTAGTAAAAGTAAGGTGTGATTATCACCAACAAACAGAAATTGAATTGCTAGGTGATTGGAGATAGCCAAGAAGAAACTCTAGACCTAAGTTTCGTACCAATTAGCATAGATCAGCAATAAATACCTCTGATGTTGTGGAGATCGATACTTCGTTTGTGATCAGAACCTCTATCATCCAATTCCACAGTCCAAAGTGTTATCACTGAGTTACTGACCTCCTGTTGGACTTGGATTGATCACTCACTGACCATTGAGTATTGGCCAATATCAAATTTGTCTAGTCCTTTAATACTGACTAAATTTTATCGACTCACTAGTGGCCACAAGGCAATTTAGTCTCTGGGATGAGATCAGGAGTAAGAAGAATTAGACAATCATGACACTTGTCATTTGGCGAAACTTAGTAACATGAAAAATGCCAACAGACCAAAAATTCCACATATATATTTCACAAGTCGTACTAATCCATTAAGTTCTAAATTTACCTATGACGTCGAAATCGGAAACTAGGTGTAACTTATTCCTAAACATAATCCAAAACTAAGAAACGGCCATCAAAAAGTGTTAATAAAATGTTTGAATGATTGAACACTTGTGGCACATGATCCAGATTTTAGTTCTTATTTGATAACTACAGATAAAACAATCCTGTAAGCAAAGCAGTATCGATTTTAGATCATTTTGAGAAACTTATTATCTACCACTCTCATAAGGAAGTGACGGCTGCAATGGAAAACGGATTTGATGAAGTCTAGGAAACTTCAAAAAAACTAAATTGACCATTCCGTTTGTAGCGAATTCACGGCATAAGGATCCCTCTTATCCTACTGGTAAGGCTTACTTAAGGTACACAAACCAGAAATATTGACGAAACCAATATTGTTGATGGTCAGGTCATTCTCTCATAAATTTTCTCACTGGTTAGTGAAAAATTAACACTGAAATAGAATTGAATTCTCATAAAATCAAAAAAGTTAAGCTGTTTTGATAGATCCATGTTATCGTTCGACGTCTCTACACTTTACGCAACGATCTCTTTGACAAAAACTGTCGAAATAATATGTTTATACCTTAACACTTCTTATAAATGTATATAATTTCTAATAGAAATAAATGTAGTTACAAGTAGCTGACTAATTTAATGATTATAAATACCGTTAATTACCTCATTAAATGATTTGTAATACGGTCTATTACGTCCTGTTCTTAAATAACTGGATACTCTTCTTAAATGATTGTCACGCTTTTCATCAAGTATTGCTCTGAAACACGTATTTCCTCATTAGTATAGGTTGAAAACAATTTTACAGAAAATTTAATGATTATCAATACGAGGGTTTCTGCAATTTGTTTAATGTTGTTGAGGTCAATAATCAATGTAAGTTAGACTATGATTAAAAATCAAGAAACGATGGACAGCTGTTTCGTTCTAGTACGTTACTCCTACATAGTGCATATCCAAGTCCTCATTGAGTGGACAATCCATGACCTTCGACACAATCTAATACTTCTAAATTTTCAATATTTGTTTAACTTGGGTCGGTTCGTAATTTCAACAAAATCAGATAACTTGTGTTTACATTATTTTAGAATGTTTTTCGGACTTTTAGGCAATAGAAAGATAAAAGTGTACGTTCATTACACTGACCTTCAATCAAAACGGTTTAGAATTACTGACACCATTCGCTTTTATTACTAAAGTTATATAAAGATGATCAATGACTTTATTTGTTTACAAACATTTGACTAGTACCTCTCAAATAATAATAAGTTGAAAAGTTTTTTTCTCCATTGATCTAATTTACCTGCATATGATGTGGTGTACATAGTTAAATATGATGTGACTGGCACTTGTTTACGCAACCACAGCTAATACTCTGACGTAGTGGTCAGACTTGCATATCATGATGACTCAACTTAGTTATATTGGAACACTTGTTCCTTTAGGTTCTGACACGGAGTGCGGATGGGTTGTAGAAAAGTAAGACTTTAGACATCAAGCTTGAGTTGCCAAAGTGATATCATAATACTCACTGTACTGAGATATTACAGTGATATATCCCCCTACTATCCAATAACAATAAATCTATCCTTGTTCACATTGAAATACCCATTTCACTTTTGAACCACACTTTCCGTTTAGCTAATTTTTTATTTACATTTTAAGTGACTAATTCAAAGATAATCACGTAATTAAAGGCTTAAAGCTGTACTTATGAAAGTAAATGATCAAATAATTTCTAAAACGATTATATTGTACCCAACTTGAATATTCTACTAAGTTTCACTAAAGAGAATAATAATTGTCAGTAAAGGGTTGTGAAGATTATTGACTTCCATTGATTCCCATTTGAGCTGTCGTGGGTTCTAACTGATAAGGAGTTCCATATTGAGGTGAAAAGAGCTTCTGGTTCTTTTGCACTTCCAATTGTGGTCTAACTTACATCTGTCTATGATTTCAATGAAATAAATATGATTATTTCACAAGACAACATTTGGTACAACCAACCTACCTTTGTAAGTTGCTAACAATTATTTCATAAGAAATATTCCAATGATGTAAGTAGTTTGTAAGATTTTGAAATCCTACAGGAGATACTGATATGTACATTGAGTTATTTGTATCTCTAGGAAACGTCCATATATCATAGCTCTCCTATACAAGGGAAAATAACAAACGAAAATGATTAGGAACTAAACGTAGTTTTAAATTTTATAGTTTGCATCACTGACTGATGTTAGTTAGTCAGCCATCAAAAACTAGAAAGGATAATTATATATACTCAGATGTTAAACAGTTTGTCAAAATAATGCCGAAATGCTGAATGATATGTTTCCTAAATTTCCAAAAAACAATCTTGTGAGTTGTTCAAATGTAGACTTTTAAAGTATTGGTTGCCGGCTTATCTCGAAACCTGAGGTCCCTCCTTTTGACCCATGTTGTTGTTATAGATACACACTGCTGAAGAGTTCCATACGATGACAAAAAGACAGGGTTAATCTGAAAATATGATTAGGTTTTAAACAAGTTAAATAACATGAAGTATTTACAATTGATTGATTATTAGATAGTGACTAATACCATGTTTGTCTAATCACCTAATGCTGATTGAATTATACCAATTTAGTATTGTAACCACTAGTGTCAACACCACATACAATACGATGGGACGTTATGTGATTGATAGATGTTAGTAGTAAAAGCTGGACCACAAAAATTTCATGCTACTTGGTATACGTCAACGAGTGTACTTATAATCCCTCTGATAACTGTTAAATAGTAAGAACCCTAAGTACAGGATTTCCTGTTAGCTACCACGAGCCACTTAATATGAAATATTTATTTCAGTTTTCTAGTATATTATAGTTTTCTAATATAAAAATGTAGAATTCAAATGCTTTGTCTGAAATTTTTAATTTCCATTCATTTTCTCCATTTTTGCCATTTTTCATAAAATTTAAATCAAGTCTATTAAAAAATACCACGACGGTTTCGTACACTACTAATATCACTATTACTATTACTACTATTATTACCATTATTATTATTATTATTATTATTATTATTATTATTACAACGACGACGACTGCTACTACTACTACCACGACTAATACTACTACTGCATCAAACTGTGCCTTTTTCTGCTATTTTATTTCCGTTACATATATACAATAATTAAACACAACTAAGATAGTTGTTTAAATTAACCAAACCTAAATATATATTACGAGAACATTCTGAATTCTTAAGTCAGCATATATCTTATTTGCCGGTTTGTTATTAAGTTAATTACAACGAACATTTATTAACTGGAAAACAACGACTCAGTGATAGGTAGCTTCGTCCTAATTTGGTGTTGTTCAGGATTCATAGGTTTCAATATTTTTAATGTCTAGGTTAATTTGTGTTGAAGGGTCTGTATCAGTTGTGAAACCGCTTAAAGCTAGAAAACAGTGGGTGGGTGTTTCATCCTAAAGTGAGACAATTCAGTTATGCGATAAAACAACCCTACTTTGGATTAACACTAGGTTTTTCAAGTTTTACAGATATATGACACCCTTTAAATCGCTGATTTAAAATCCAGTGGTGTAAATATTACCCAGAGATCAAAATGATAAACGTGTCTGATTCTGGATCTTTAGGAGGGTCATGGTTGACCCCTGTCGACTGTACGTATATACCAAAGACACTCAAGTTATAAAGACAGTGATTATAGTGTAGTCATTCATTGATATTCAGGGTATTACTAATTTATCACTAGTTCAGTTTCTTGAAATTGAAATGAATTATCAAATATCAATTTCAGTAAACGTATGACAGGCCATGAAACAAATTAACACAAAATTAAATTGATGAGATGAATATCAAAGGAGTTGAAACAACTATTTCAACAATAATAATGAAGAAGACTAAAAATGTAGAGTAAAGTTTTGAAAAACAGGACGATCAATAGTCATAGACTTCGTGAACTTATGATGTGTTTTGGTTTGTCTATTCCTGAGTTTTTTCTAATCAACGTCTTCACAAGAAAACATCATCTATCGATGTATGGGACATTTGCATATCCATAACTCAGACAAAGCATAAATAAACGCGACAACTAAGAATGTCTACTATCCTACATTTTAAACCAATCATCTATAGTCCGATCAAAAAGCCTTCATTAATTTATCCGCTTTTAACTATATCTAAAATAATCACTGTACAGATTCATCAATGTCGTTTGCGATTGTATACATAAAGACTACTTGGCTAATTAAAACTAGGCAATAAAATCTGTTGATCAGTATTTCAAAAAAAATTAGTGTAAAACCATCATAGTTTATAGGTATGATTATGTTGTTACAAAAAGAGATAAAATAATTACACAAATCTACAATTTAAGTAAATACAGATCCTTGGTTTCTATTGTTTACAAATTGGTTATCATGGAAATTGTATTATCATTAAAATGAAATCGATAAGGAACCTACCGGTTTGTTAAGATTTAGATTAATAATTGTATTTATAATTTGAGGATTTGAAATTCTCATTCGTAACACTTTGAAACTGTCAAAAGAAATTTAAAAAATTAGTACACGAAAGGATTATGCTCACGAAAAACATGAAAATAATGAAAAATTATGTTACTAAAATATTGAATACTTGTGGTGTTTGTATGAACTAATGATTCTTTTGTACTTGATCTGTACCTGATTTCGAATTCTAAATACAATATATATATGCTCACCTAGTTCTATTGGCTTTAAATTGAACTATTTCAGGAATTCCTAGTTCGTTTAATAATTCAAATGCTTCTAATTATCTCAATACTATTTATAGAAGTAAAAATCTAGAATAACTTTGGAATAAAACACAGTGATACAATTATACCACTTAGATAAACAATGAAGATCTTTGGGGTAACTACAACAAACTTTAGAATTCCAACATTTCAACCATTTTACGTACTTGTTATTAAGAAGTGTCTCTTTAGATTCAATCCAATACTGATCATTTTTAAATAAAAAGATACTTATTCAGTACCAATCACAAAAAAATAAAAAGGAAGAGAAATAATGTTAAGAAAAATAATGAAAGAGTTTGAGAGATAAATACAACACCAACTATATCATTAAATCATTACTTATACGTTATGTCTAGAACGTATGATACAAATGAATTTGCAGAATTGTTGATTACAAAGTGAAGAGAATACTTTATTAACCAACCTTTTGAAAATATTATTCTATTTGTAATATAAGAAATAATTTTAAATAGGTAATGATTACTGTATTTTTCTATAGTCACTATTGTGTGAATTTATTTTATTAACTGTAAGATCTACCTGAATAATCACAATGGTTGACTTAATATATCGGTGATTTACTCAAAATTTTAAATATATTTTAATAACATAATGTCAAGGTTAAAAGTGAGAAACTGCGTTCGGTTTATTTTATTTTTTTATCTACACAACCCTTTTTATGTATGGACGATCACTCAAGTTCATTTTATGAAATATGTAAAAAAGATAATTGGCCTTAGTTTAACAAAAGATTAAAAAGAATTGTACATTTCCATAAACACGTTAAATAATCCGTTATTAAATAGACAGAAGTGATGTATTCAATGTACTGAGTAAATATATCTTTAACAATACCTCATCAGTGGGATAACTATATATATTTTTGGCATAGCGATAATTGTCATTCTTAGACAAGAAGTAACCAGAGGTAAGCAGAATCTATAACCATTCGTCTTTTTATCTCAAAGACGTAAATAATGTTGTCGGTATAATGTCATCCTACTACTTTGTATCACCGTATTTCGTACCAAACATCATGATGAGAAAAATCAACTGGCGGAGTAAATGAGACGGATACTAATTCAAGGGGACCGTACTTACAGTTTGTTCAGAATACTTACATTTTACAAAACATTTATTCAATAAAATTGTAGGCTTCTTTCATTGTGTATATTTTAAGTTCTGCTCGATATCATTTTTCCCCGAAATTTATGTTAAATAACAATAATGAGAAAATTTGATGGAAACCAATGAAATCATTTATGTGGTATGAGCTCAACAACTCATAGGAAGATTTAATGTACATTTTCCATAGTTTACACTTCGACACAGTAAGACATACTTTCTCAAGTACAATAATTCGAAGCTCATTATATCGGAATTTTCAATCCATTATTGTAACTTTAATTTAAAGCTTTCTTCATGATTTGTTTCAAGTAGCTAATGGTTTTACCACTCTCGAGTTCCATTTAAATTGCTCATTTCTGTGAACAGTAACAAACTATGTTAAAATAATTGCAATATTTCTTGTATATTAGCAAGGTTAAGTAAGAAAAGACTAAGCATAGTTTAATTATGAATAGTTAACTAATTCTAAACACATACTAGTTAGCAGATTAGACGTTTATTCTGTTTTATGGTAATTATTCACTTGAACATGCTCAATCGACCAGCTTGACCTCATGTAATGTTACTACCTAGTCGTGCATGATCCATCAATCAATGTTTTTCGGATTTTTAATTGAAACAAGCTGACAAATTCTCAAAAATTATCAGGATTATTTTTTGTAGTTTGGAGTAATTCAACAACGTCATCCTATTTCTGTTGGATATACTTATACTCCATTCATGTTTTGGACTAGAATCTTTGGGTTAAACCATTGAAATCATTAAATTAACAAGTTTGATTAATTAAATGTGATCAGTTTTAAATAGTCTCTTAGTCATCCTTAAAATGCTTACTACAGTGAAATAAGATTACTCAAATCCTACTTACATATTCACTAAGTTTCCTTTATGATGGAATTATTTCTGACCCATTGATAAATTTTTACCATAATTTTATAAAGTCGTTGATTACCACCAAAACATTTAGCCAGAAAGAGTACTCATTTAAAATATCAACGTGGATTTTGTTGTATTGAGCAATCCATCAAGAGGTCGATTGTGGCCAGCATAGCTTGATGGTAACATCTCAAACTGTAAAACTGGGTGACACGAGATGGAATCTATCAGAGAGTATCAATTCCCTTAAGATTACCAGTACATCTGACTGATGAGTACCAAATACCATGAAACCAAGGTCACCTAATTTGCTGTCGATTACCTCTAAGTATCACCGTATATTATAACTTAAGTTTACTTTAGTACATGTCGACAAATTTATTTATTTACCCGTTTCCTGAATCCACCTAATGAAATCATTTTTAGATTTTCTGAGGTTACATACTATTTTTTTCAGTGGTGAATTTAATAAATGCTTTTTATTCAGTTAAGCAAATAAATATATAGATATTTCATTTTACACAATGAACCAACGTTGAGTTATCATTATCATGTTGTTTATACAGTCGATGGAAAATAATCAAACCTTAGACGGGTCAGCTAGGGCTTTTTAAAGTAGGAATTGTTCATCAAAATAAACACTTATTATGAATGTCTATTTTTCTCCGGCTTTATTATGTTTAAGTACAGAATTAGTTTTGTTTGCAATGTATTACATCAAAATGATCCGATCTTGATACATTTTTCGCAATTTAATGGTAGTGTGGTGTGTGCTACTGATGTCGACAGATATAAGTAGTACATATCATGAATAGAAAGTGAAATTCCTGGAGGCAGAAGGTTAAGAAGGTTGAAGAAAAGAGAATGAGAACAAAGAATGATTGATGTTTAAACGAAGGAACAACCAAGTTTTGGACAATTGATTGAGATTTTGCAAATGAAATACTTACGGTATGATTCTCGGATTTTACTAAGAGCTTCTGTAAGTTTTGCACAAAACAATAAACGTCTCAAGGTTAGCCACTAACAAATGCTATTTTTATAATTAACATAAATTTACTATAAAATTTCTCATTAAACATGAAAGTAGCATACCTAGTCAGCTTACACAACATGTAACTTACTTATAATAATGAGCATGTGATGCGGTTATAGTATTAATTAGGATTATTTCAATTAATGAAAGTAACAGTATTATTCCAGAAATGGAAACATTCAATATTAATGAGATTTTCATTGTATGTTATCTTGTGCATTAATTAGCATTTGTAAAAAAAATACTAACTTTAATCATTCTGTTAACAAATTCTATGTGTTCAGTGGTAGTTTGACGAAATTCAGTATAAACAGTTTCATTTTAATTCTCGTATGTCATATCAGCATTCCGGTATTATGAATTCACCACACGTGATGTAATATTGAACGCATCATGACAAATAAACTGTTAGTTAGATAAGGAACTAAGTTTTGAATATCAATTTCGGATATAAATATATATGAATAAGTAGATGAAAATATAGACAGATGTACATATATATAGACAAGGAATAAAATTATGACCTGATAAATTCAGTAATGTATGAACATCAGATGTAAATATATTTCACATTTATCTAAATCATAAATTGAAAAATTGATCGAAATTAATAATTTACATGATACTGTGTTATTGATTAGAACATAACTAGTAAACAAGGATAGCTAACGTACATACACAGCTTTTAAATTAATTAAAGTAACGCTTTAAACAGATACATAGTAATTTCTAATGCAACTGTACATCTGTATCCTATTAAACGCTGAAAACGTAGATATAAAAAAATAGATTATCTTACGACCAATCAAACGACCGTATTAGAAAACGACGGATTAGGAAACAGAAAGTTAGCAATATACATAGCACATGAGTAGGGTTAGGGTTAGGGTTAGGGTTAGGGTTAGGGTTAGGGTTAGGGTTTAGGGTTAGGGTTAGGGTTAGGGTTTAGGGTTAGGGTTAGGGTTAGGGTTAGGGTTAGGGTTAGGTTAGGGTTAGGGTTAGGGTTAGGGTTAGGGTTAGGGTTAGGGTTAGGGTTAGGGTTAGGGTTAGGGTTAGGGTTAGGGTTAGGGTTAGGGTTAGGGTTAGGGTTAGGGTTAGGGTTAGGGTTAGGGTTAGGGTTAGGGTTAGGGTTAGGGTTAGGGTTAGGGTTAGGGTTAGGGTTAGGGTTAGGGTTAGGGTTAGGGTTAGGGTTAGGGTTAGGGTTAGGGTTAGGGTTAGGGTTAGGGTTAGGGTTAGGGTTAGGGTTAGGGTTAGGGTTAGGGTTAGGGTTAGGGTTAGGGTTAGGGTTAGGGTTAGGGTTAGGGTTAGGGTTAGGGTTAGGGTTAGGGTTAGGGTTAGGGTTAGGGTTAGGGTTAGGGTTAGGGTTAGGGTTAGGGTTAGGGTTAGGGTTAGGGTTAGGGTTAGGGTTAGGGTTAGGGTTAGGGTTAGGGTTAGGGTTAGGGTTAGGGTTAGGGTTAGGGTTAGGGTTAGGGTTAGGGTTAGGGTTAGGGTTAGGGTTAGGGTTAGGGTTAGGGTTAGGGTTAGGGTTAGGGTTAGGGTTAGGGTTAGGGTTAGGGTTAGGGTTAGGGTTAGGGTTAGGGTTAGGGTTAGGGTTAGGGTTAGGGTTAGGGTTAGGGTTAGGGTTAGGGTTAGGGTTAGGGTTAGGGTTAGGGTTAGGGTTAGGGTTAGGGTTAGGGTTAGGGTTAGGGTTAGGGTTAGGGTTAGGGTTAGGGTTAGGGTTAGGGTTAGGGTTAGGGTTAGGGTTAGGGTTAGGGTTAGGGTTAGGGTTAGGGTTAGGGTTAGGGTTAGGGTTAGGGTTAGGGTTAGGGTTAGGGTTAGGGTTAGGGTTAGGGTTAGGGTTAGGGTTAGGGTTAGGGTTAGGGTTAGGGTTAGGGTTAGGGTTAGGGTTAGGGTTAGGGTTAGGGTTAGGGTTAGGGTTAGGGTTAGGGTTAGGGTTAGGGTTAGGGTTAGGGTTAGGGTTAGGGTTAGGGTTAGGGTTAGGGTTAGGGTTAGGGTTAGGGTTAGGGTTAGGGTTAGGGTTAGGGTTAGGGTTAGGGTTAGGGTTAGGGTTAGGGTTAGGGTTAGGGTTAGGGTTAGGGTTAGGGTTAGGGTTAGGGTTAGGGTTAGGGTTAGGGTTAGGGTTAGGGTTAGGGTTAGGGTTAGGGTTAGGGTTAGGGTTAGGGTTAGGGTTAGGGTTAGGGTTAGGGTTAGGGTTAGGGTTAGGGTTAGGGTTAGGGTTAGGGTTAGGGTTAGGGTTAGGGTTAGGGTTAGGGTTAGGGTTAGGGTTAGGGTTAGGGTTAGGGTTAGGGTTAGGGTTAGGGTTAGGGTTAGGGTTAGGGTTAGGGTTAGGGTTAGGGTTAGGGTTAGGGTTAGGGTTAGGGTTAGGGTTAGGGTTAGGGTTAGGGTTAGGGTTAGGGTTAGGGTTAGGGTTAGGGTTAGGGTTAGGGTTAGGGTTAGGGTTAGGGTTAGGGTTAGGGTTAGGGTTAGGGTTAGGGTTAGGGTTAGGGTTAGGGTTAGGGTTAGGGTTAGGGTTAGGGTTAGGGTTAGGGTTAGGGTTAGGGTTAGGGTTAGGGTTAGGGTTAGGGTTAGGGTTAGGGTTAGGGTTAGGGTTAGGGTTAGGGTTAGGGTTAGGGTTAGGGTTAGGGTTAGGGTTAGGGTTAGGGTTAGGGTTAGGGTTAGGGTTAGGGTTAGGGTTAGGGTTAGGGTTAGGGTTAGGGTTAGGGTTAGGGTTAGGGTTAGGGTTAGGGTTAGGGTTAGGGTTAGGGTTAGGGTTAGGGTTAGGGTTAGGGTTAGGGTTAGGGTTAGGGTTAGGGTTAGGGTTAGGGTTAGGGTTAGGGTTAGGGTTAGGGTTAGGGTTAGGGTTAGGGTTAGGGTTAGGGTTAGGGTTAGGGTTAGGGTTAGGGTTAGGGTTAGGGTTAGGGTTAGGGTTAGGGTTAGGGTTAGGGTTAGGGTTAGGGTTAGGGTTAGGGTTAGGGTTAGGGTTAGGGTTAGGGTTAGGGTTAGGGTTAGGGTTAGGGTTAGGGTTAGGGTTAGGGTTAGGGTTAGGGTTAGGGTTAGGGTTAGGGTTAGGGTTAGGGTTAGGGTTAGGGTTAGGGTTAGGGTTAGGGTTAGGGTTAGGGTTAGGGTTAGGGTTAGGGTTAGGGTTAGGGTTAGGGTTAGGGTTAGGGTTAGGGTTAGGGTTAGGGTTAGGGTTAGGGTTAGGGTTAGGGTTAGGGTTAGGGTTAGGGTTAGGGTTAGGGTTAGGGTTAGGGTTAGGGTTAGGGTTAGGGTTAGGGTTAGGGTTAGGGTTAGGGTTAGGGTTAGGGTTAGGGTTAGGGTTAGGGTTAGGGTTAGGGTTAGGGTTAGGGTTAGGGTTAGGGTTAGGGTTAGGGTTAGGGTTAGGGTTAGGGTTAGGGTTAGGGTTAGGGTTAGGGTTAGGGTTAGGGTTAGGGTTAGGGTTAGGGTTAGGGTTAGGGTTAGGGTTAGGGTTAGGGTTAGGGTTAGGGTTAGGGTTAGGGTTAGGGTTAGGGTTAGGGTTAGGGTTAGGGTTAGGGTTAGGGTTAGGGTTAGGGTTAGGGTTAGGGTTAGGGTTAGGGTTAGGGTTAGGGTTAGGGTTAGGGTTAGGGTTAGGGTTAGGGTTAGGGTTAGGGTTAGGGTTAGGGTTAGGGTTAGGGTTAGGGTTAGGGTTAGGGTTAGGGTTAGGGTTAGGGTTAGGGTTAGGGTTAGGGTTAGGGTTAGGGTTAGGGTTAGGGTTAGGGTTAGGGTTAGGGTTAGGGTTAGGGTTAGGGTTAGGGTTAGGGTTAGGGTTAGGGTTAGGGTTAGGGTTAGGGTTAGGGTTAGGGTTAGGGTTAGGGTTAGGGTTAGGGTTAGGGTTAGGGTTAGGGTTAGGGTTAGGGTTAGGGTTAGGGTTAGGGTTAGGGTTAGGGTTAGGGTTAGGGTTAGGGTTAGGGTTAGGGTTAGGGTTAGGGTTAGGGTTAGGGTTAGGGTTAGGGTTAGGGTTAGGGTTAGGGTTAGGGTTAGGGTTAGGGTTAGGGTTAGGGTTAGGGTTAGGGTTAGGGTTAGGGTTAGGGTTAGGGTTAGGGTTAGGGTTAGGGTTAGGGTTAGGGTTAGGGTTAGGGTTAGGGTTAGGGTTAGGGTTAGGGTTAGGGTTAGGGTTAGGGTTAGGGTTAGGGTTAGGGTTAGGGTTAGGGTTAGGGTTAGGGTTAGGGTTAGGGTTAGGGTTAGGGTTAGGGTTAGGGTTAGGGTTAGGGTTAGGGTTAGGGTTAGGGTTAGGGTTAGGGTTAGGGTTAGGGTTAGGGTTAGGGTTAGGGTTAGGGTTAGGGTTAGGGTTAGGGTTAGGGTTAGGGTTAGGGTTAGGGTTAGGGTTAGGGTTAGGGTTAGGGTTAGGGTTAGGGTTAGGGTTAGGGTTAGGGTTAGGGTTAGGGTTAGGGTTAGGGTTAGGGTTAGGGTTAGGGTTAGGGTTAGGGTTAGGGTTAGGGTTAGGGTTAGGGTTAGGGTTAGGGTTAGGGTTAGGGTTAGGGTTAGGGTGAGGGTTAGGGTTAGGGTTAGGGTTAGGGTTAGGGTTAGGGTTAGGGTTAGGGTTAGGGTTAGGGTTAGGGTTAGGGTTAGGGTTAGGGTTAGGGTTAGGGTTAGGGTTAGGGTTAGGGTTAGGGTTAGGGTTAGGGTTAGGGTTAGGGTTAGGGTTAGGGTTAGGGTTAGGGTTAGGGTTAGGGTTAGGGTTAGGGTTAGGGTTAGGGTTAGGGTTAGGGTTAGGGTTAGGGTTAGGGTTAGGGTTAGGGTTAGGGTTAGGGTTAGGGTTAGGGTTAGGGTTAGGGTTAGGGTTAGGGTTAGGGTTAGGGTTAGGGTTAGGGTTAGGGTTAGGGTTAGGGTTAGGGTTAGGGTTAGGGTTAGGGTTAGGGTTAGGGTTAGGGTTAGGGTTAGGGTTAGGGTTAGGGTTAGGGTTAGGGTTAGGGTTAGGGTTAGGGTTAGGGTTAGGGTTAGGGTTAGGGTTAGGGTTAGGGTTAGGGTTAGGGTTAGGGTTAGGGTTAGGGTTAGGGTTAGGGTTAGGGTTAGGGTTAGGGTTAGGGTTAGGGTTAGGGTTAGGGTTAGGGTTAGGGTTAGGGTTAGGGTTAGGGTTAGGGTTAGGGTTAGGGTTAGGGTTAGGGTTAGGGTTAGGGTTAGGGTTAGGGTTAGGGTTAGGGTTAGGGTTAGGGTTAGGGTTAGGGTTAGGGTTAGGGTTAGGGTTAGGGTTAGGGTTAGGGTTA